CAATACAATTGTTATTATAATATATTTATAAGCGCTAAAATACAATTGCATTATTAAAAATACTAACGAATGACTGGTATCGGACGACAAGAAGTAAATGGATCACCAGTAAAAGATGGTGGACAAGAGCAAATAGGTATGTGTTTCACAACTGTACATATTGCCTCAGAACCACATGTTCCTGGACATGGGTCTATACATTTATAACCAATACAGGCCAAAGCCAAATTACAATCGTCGTTGTTTTCACATTCTCTTCGACATCCCGTGTAAGGATCACCGAAGAATCCTGTAGAGCACGTACAAGCTGCAACTCCATTTCTATTGACACAATCAGAATTTGGACCACATGGTGATGGATAGCAAGGATCTACGGCTTCTGGTGATCTTTCGGTAGCTATATAAGGCAATAAAAATATGCTGGTCTATATGCATTTTAACAAATACTTGTAGATAAAAATATTTAATTTATTTAAAGTGTTATTAAAATGTAAAACTATTCCGTCAATGAATTAATCATATTTGTCATAAGTATTAAGTGTACATAGTAGTAGTCTTTGTTCTTACAGGTAGGTAACAGTTGGCAATATGTAAGGGCATCGCCAGTGTACCCAGGTAAACAAGTACAAACTGGGTGGTGATTGATAACTCTACAATGAGCATATTGTCCACATGATCCTGGGCATGGATCAGAGCATTTTTCATTGATACATGCCAAGTTACTTGAACATTCCGCGCTAATAACACACTCAGGCCTACAATTGGGTGGCCGACCAATGTAGTTTTGCAAACAAGAACATGCAGCTGTATTGCTCACCACTCTACATTGAGAGTGAGGTCCACAAGGTGATGGAGAGCAAGGGGCTGTAGGCGGTGAAGGAGTGGTTGTGGCTAAAGTGAGAAAAAGAAAAAAAGAAAAACATGCAACAGAGTTTCAGATAGTAATACAAGAAATCACATATATCATAATTATCATGCAATAGAATAAAGAAACGCAAAAGATTTTCAAGTAAAAAGTACCAATCATTCACTATACAATTCTTACGTTGTATTTTGTTGCAAGAAGCAAAAGGATCGCCCGTATATCCGGGGGAACAGCTACAAATGGGATTGTGATTTACTACTTGACACCTTGTATTTAGGCCACAAGTACCAATGCAGGGGTCACTACATTTTTGATTAACACAAGCTTTGTTTTGACTACATTCTGAACTGACAATGCATTCAGGACGACAAGATGGAGGTGTACCGATATAGGAACTTAAACATGAACAAACGGCGTGGTCGTTAAGTTCTCTACATTGACTGTTAGGCCCACACGGAGATGGAACACAAGGATCTATTGGAGTAGCTTCAGCTAAAAAAATCAAGTCAAAACAATATTTTTATAAATGGTAATTACTATTTATAGAGAAATAGAACATATTCTTACTTATGGGTATAACATTACATATGCTCAACGGATCACCAGTGTATCCTGGTACACAACTGCATGAAGGCGCGTGGTTCAGAACTTTACATTCTGCATTAAGTCCACATGTTCCAGGACATGGATCCTTACATTTATTATTTGCACATGCTTTTGTACGGTCACAATCTGCATTCGTAACACATTCAGGTCTACATCCCGTGTATGGATCACCGAAATATTCAGGTAGACAAACACAAGAACCAGCACCGTTTTTTTCTCGGCAAATAGAATTAGCTCCACATGGAGATGGATTGCATGGATCTCTCGGTCCTTCAGTGGGAGGAACTATACCAAATATAAATCACGATGAGTTATTAAAATAGAGACGTTGCGACAGTTGTTAATATATATATATATATATATGATTGTATTACTTTGTTGAACGATGGAACACCCAGCAAATGGATCCCCAGTATATCCAGTTTCACAAGTACACTGTGGTCTATGATTACGAGTTACACAGGTCGCGTGCACTCCACAAGAACCAGGGCAAGGGTCTTTGCAACGTTCATTCAAGCAAGCAAGATTTCCCGGACATTCTGCATTGATTGAACATTCTGGGCGACAGTTTGGTGGTCTTCCTATATAGTTTGGCAAACAAGAGCATGCTGGTGTGGAGCCAACTTCGTGGCATATGGAATTAAGACCACATGGGGATGGAATACAAGGATTTCCACTTGGCGGTGGCTGAGTTGGTCGTGCTAAAATAAAGATAAAAATTTTATTTAAAAATAATTATTTTTAAAATCGATGTACGTTAATTATTTAAATATTTTAAATTATTTATTTTTATTTATTTTATTTCTTTAGAATTTATTGAAAAAAACTATTTTTTTGCATGGTTATAGAAATTTATAAACTTACGTTCTGATTTACATTGAACAAATGGATCACCAATTAAACCATTTGGGCAACTGCAAATTGGATTATGATTTATGACTTGACACCTTGCTCCAATACCACATATTCCAATACAAGGGTCTGAACATTTTTGATTAATACAAGCTCTATTTTGAGGGCATTCTGAACTAACAACACATTCTGGACGACAACCCGGAGGTGTTCCAACATAGTTAGTTTGACAAGAACACACTGCGTGGCCATTCACAGTTCTACACATACTATAAGGCCCACAAGGAGAAGGTTCACATGGATTTTTAGGTATTTCATCCACTATAAATAATATAAAAATTATAATGATTATTCATAATATTAAATATTGAAGATAAATAATATAAATCTTACTCGGTGGTGGCATATGACATGCGGTAATAGGATTGCCAGTGTAACCTGGGAAACATGTACACGATGGCGTGTGATTGATAACATTACATTCAGCATTAAGACCACAAGTACCAGGACAAGGATCGCGGCATTTATTATTTACACATGCTTTACTCCTATCACATTCCGAATTAGTCACACATTCTGGTCTACAACCCGTGTAAGGATCACCAAAATATTCTGGTAAACATATACAAGATCCTGCTCCATTACGTTCTTTGCATATAGCGTTTGCTCCACATGGTGATGGGTTACAAGGCATTTTAGGCCCTTCAGTTGGAACAACTAAAATTTTAAACATAATTTAGCAAAAATATTAGAAATTACATACGACAGTATAAAATAAACATACCTTGTTGTATTAAAGAACATCCAGCAAATGGATCTCCTGTATAACCTGGTTCACAGTTACATTGTGGACTATGGTTTATAGTTACACACGTAGCATATATTCCACATGAGCCCGGACATGGATCTTTACATTTTTCTTTTGAACATGCTAAATTCCCCGGACATTCAGCATTGATGGTGCATTCTGGTCTGCAATTAGGCGGTCGTCCAATGTAACTGCCCAAACATGAACATGCTGGGGTATTACCAATTTCACGACATATTGAATTTGGACCGCATGGAGATGGCACACATGGATTGGTTGGTATATCAGCTGGTGGAGGTTCTATGTATAACGTTTATATTTAGATTAATGCTGTTTTCCAAAAACATAAAATGTACAGTTTGTGTTGAATATAAATACTTACGTTCTTTGAAGCACCGTATAAACGGATCTCCGTTATAACCCGGTGGACAACTACAAATTGGATTATGATTGACTACTTGACATCTTCCATTTGATCCACATGTACCAGGACACGGGTCTATACATTTCTTTCTAACGCATGCTTTATCCTGGGGACATTCAGAGCTCACCATACATTCCGGGCGACATGATGGAGGTGTTCCAATGTAATCTGTTTGGCATGAACATACAGCATGATTATTCACAGGTCTGCATTGACTGTATGGACCACATGGCGAAGGAATACATGGATTTGAAGGTGGTTCTGGATCAACTAAAAATAAACATTTAGTATTATCTTTAAGTAAAGTATAAGTAATATAATCAATTATATCATTAAAGAAAGATACAACTAAATAACATTATACATACGTAATGGTTGAATGTAGCAAGATAACGTTGGATCTCCAGTATAATCTACTGGACAATAACAAGATGGTGAATGGTTAATAACCCTGCATTCTGCATTCAAACCACAGACGCCTGGACATGGGTCACGACATTTGTTATTCATACAGGATTTACTACGATCACAATCAGAATTGGTCACACATTCTGGCCTACATCCAGTGTACGGATCTCCAAAATATTCAGGCAAACACGAACAAGAGCCAGCACCATTTCGTTCTTTACATACTGCATTTGCTCCACATGGCGATGGGTTGCATGGCATTTTTGGTCCTTCAGTAGGAACTAAAAAAATATTTAAATATAAATACATAATTATACCAATATAAAACATATTCATATAWTTTTTTAACATTGATACCATTAAATAAAATATCTTACATTGTTGTATGAGGGAACATCCACTAAATGGATCTCCAGTGTAACCATTTTGGCAAATGCACTGAGGTACATGTTTGACTGTATTACATGTTGCGTATATTCCACATGAGCCAGGACATGGATCACGACATTTTTCGTTGACACAAGCAAGATTTCCGGGGCATTCAGCATTAATTGTACATTCTGGGCGGCAATTAGGTGGCCGACCAATATAATTAGACAAACACGAACATGCAGGCGTTCCACTGTGGTCACGGCATAAAGAATTAGGTCCACATGGTGATGGAATACACGGATTAGTCGGAATGGATGGTTCATCATAATATATTGGTTCTAATAAATATTATAAGTATTATTTATTATTAAAGTTATATTTTACTATTTAATAATACGAACTTTCTTGTAA